AACCTTCGCTGGATTGTTCTCACTTGTTGGATTAAATAAAGAGCTGTTGTTACCGTTAAGCCTGTGTGTGCCTATCCATTACCCAATCTAACACTTGACAAATGTGGGCTGTACATATTGCTAATTCAATGAACACATTGCTGGCTTGAAAATCAAGTTAAAATAGCACTAATCAATGGTTCTTCATTAAACTGAAATGAAGCCACAGGATTCAGTACTGAGTGCTGGAAGGTTCCATATTTTATTAATAACCTGTACTAACAAGTAGAAGAAATGTAGAACAAATCTGAAGATAATGCAAAATTGCTGAGATAGCTTATTTGTTTGTTTGTTTGTTTTCTATAGCCACCCATCTCAGCAAAAGATTCTGGGCAGCTCACAATTCAGCAACATATATTACAATTAAAATCTTTAAAACATTTTAAAACAATAAAAACAGTAAAACCATTAAAACACTGAAAATCATCAAAATATCAAATTTGAATATCTTAAGAAAATTAACATAGAATTTTTAAATGATCTAGGTCAGAGAAATGAATTGAGAGTAAAGAAAAAAAATTAACTGAAAATTGCAGGTTGTTACAGACATAGGATATGGGATCCTTGGCTTGGAAATGGCACTTAAAAGAAAGATGCTAGTATAATAATTGATTTAAAACTGAATATGAGCCATACGGTTGCAAAAAAAAAAGCCAAATGCAATTTTAGGCAGAGAATAATTTCCAAACCAGGAATTGTAGGCTCAGGGAAATTGCAAGAGATCAGAGAAAGTCAATGAGCTCAAGCTGATGGCTAGAACTGTGGTCCTATGAAGATAAATACATTAAAAGAATTGTATCTATTTAAGTTATGTATATATAACCTTGAAAAAAGGCCACTAAAAAGAGGTATAACTTACTTGCTTGCGCATCACATCTGTAGCTTGGAGGATATAGCGAGGAGGTAGACCATGACTCCGAGCAAGAATTATTGCTTGCTCTAAAGTGATGCTCAGAGTGCAACTAAACCGAAATCAGAGAAATCAATTAAAGTATTTATTTTATATATTAAACAAATTTATAACTCACACAAAGGTGGCCCCAACTGGCTTACAAACACATACAGTGTTGATATTTTTAATGATATATATATAATGTGAATGCATTAATCATGTCAGACAAGAATTAAGATGGCATTATAACTTGCTGTAAACTTCTGTTGCAACATTTTAATTTTCAATTTCAATTATTAACTAAGAAAGTTAGCTTGATAATGTGTCCCAAAAAGAGACCAAGTTTATTTTTATGTCTGATAACAAATCTAAACATACTCCACATAACACTGCAAGACTTAAAAGGAACTTAAAAGAACTATATATTACAGTGAAATACTGTGGTACAAGAACTCTTTTTTGCTTTGATACAATATTAGAGATTGCTCAAATTTCTGCATTTTTACTCTACTACTTTTTCAGCTGTTGGATATTAGATATTTAATTCTCTTCTCTGAAATTATATATATAGAGACCCAAACCAGACATTAATATCCCAGTCATCTGGAGCTAGTCAAGATTATGTCAAAATTATAAAACATGCCTAACAGTCAAGATGAATTCTTCCCCTTCATACTTATGTCACAAAATACCACACAAGTATGATAGGGGGCAGAGTTTGCATCACAACTTTGTGGTGTATATTTTATCACTTCTTTCTCCACTCCCCGACTTCCATAAATCTCTCATATGCACTACAAATAATTATAACTAATTATTCTTTTTTATATAACTTTTTAAAACAATATTTTAAATATTAATTTTATATTTTATATTCTCATTTGCTAAATAGCTATCCTACCAGTTTTCCTTCTACTATTTACTCATTCTATTAATTTTGCTTCACTTATTAATGACCTTTAAATAAATTAGTTTTTTTCATTAGAATGTCAATTATATTAGGATTTTATTCAAAATACAGAAAGTCTGTATACCTGCCCGTTAAAATTTCAGTTCTCTTCTGATGCCTTCCCTTTATTACAAGGCAAAGGAAAGTAGCCTATGTAACAAAATAATTTAGCAATAGCAATAGCAGTAGACTTATATACCGCTTCATAGGCCTTTCAGGCCTCTCTAAGCGGTTTACAGAGAGTCAGCATATTGCCCCCAACAATCTGGGTCCTCATTTTACCCACCTCGGAAGGATGGAAGGCTGAGTCAACCCTGAGCCGGTGAGATTTGAACCGCTGACCTGCTGATCTAGCAGTAGCCTGTAGTGCTGCATTTAACCACTGCGCCACCTTGGCTCTTGATTTAAATATTGCCTCTAGAAGTACCACACAACCCCACTCCTTCAGAGACATGTACCATCTTCATATATTTTATTTGTATGCATATATGCATATACAAAAACCAAAAGACAGAATTGACATTTGCCAAAACAAATTGGTTCTACATGCATATCCTAGTATTCTTCTTCAATACATGGTGATACAGTTCTCTCAACAGATTGAAGTGTCATTCTATATATTGCATTAGACCCTTCAAATCAAGTAGAGACATAGTGTGTAACAAAAACTGCTCTGAAACTGCTTCTAAGTGATCCCATCCTTAAGTTATTCTTTTTCCTTAGCAAAGGATAGTAGACTATGTTTCTCTAACATTCATCTGGATTACCTCAATAAACCCAGAGCCAGGCTTTATTTTATTTTGCAACAATGATTATATCATTCTCCAGAACATTACATTTGCATTTGATGCTATTGTACTGTTCTGTCAATATGCCTTTTACCCAAACACAATTTGAGCCATCTTTCCAACTGGGCTCTTGCTCTGTATTAAAATAGTTTTGCTCAGTTTCCAAAAAAGAAAAGTAATAATGGCTGTATTGGAATTATAACTGTCGATTGCAATTTGTACAATTCATTATTTTATAACAATAAGATTGTTTTTAAACAGCCTCTGATATAAACTCTGATTTTTCTGTTTTGATTCTCATTACCTAGATTTGTTATTATTCTCTATAACACTTAATATCTAGAAGAAAAAATGAAGTGCATACTAGAAATTAGGACAGCAATGAAGATTTTATGCCCTAGGGCAGCTTGTTTTAGGGGGGGAAACTGCATTATTAACTATTGCAAGAATAAATTTAAAACAAACAATGAAAATATTGAAATGGATGTGAAATACTGTAAAAACTGAAATAAAATCTGGAATTCTTCAAATGTTCTGTGACTTCTCCTTGAAATTGGGACCATGAAATCTAGAACTTTTAGAGACCTTATTCCATTTTAAAATATATATTTTACAGAACATGAAAAATGGTACATATTATCATGATGGCCCAATAGAATTCCACTTATGCATTAATCTATTAGAATTATTCTATCATTTTCTGTGAGGCAGTTCTATATTGCCAATGACTAGAGCAACATAAATAATTGCAAGAATGTCATTGATATTTATATCCATATCCACACCCATCTTCTTATTCTTGAGTCTGGACAGCAATTAACAGTAATTTTTAGAAAAGATAAATTTCCATACCGGTGAACTCCACTGTTACATAAGACGATATGGCAAGCTCCCAGCCGGCTGCAGAGTTCTGAAGAGATGGACAGTAGTCCAACTCCAGAAGCACCACAAGCTGTGTAAGCACAGGCTGCTGTGCGCTTGGATCTTATGAAAGATGTCATTAATCGGTAAAGCTCATCCAAAGAATTGATAGGCCTCATTAGCTGCCAAGTAAAATACAATGCTATTATCATTAAAAGACAATATACTGAACATGGTATTATAAGTTCAACAAAAATTGTTTAAAATGCAGCTGTCTTGAACATCCTGTAAGGATGAAGTCCTAAAGTTTTATTCTTTTTTAACTCATATGATGACAATTTATTAAACTTAAATATTACAGTTCTGCCTACACAATACCTACAGTAACCTATTACAAGCAAAAACATAAATTATAAAATGTACAAGTAAAATTAATGCAACACAATTAAAATCAGGTAAGATTAATATCATTTAAAGGTTTGTGGAAGAGATTGCATTACATTACAAAGCCTGGGAATCACACAGAAAAGGTTCTTTCTCATATGGGTCTAATTTTTTTCCCCATGCCTCTTTATATACTCTTTGGCAATCTTTTAGGCATTATCTTTCACTTCAATGCTTTCTTAATTGCTTTTTACTGCACTAGTTACATTATTCTGTCTAGTGACTCAATAAACACATTAACAAGTAGACATTAACTATATTGTTTTTACGACGTATTTTTTTTCTGAAAAACACTGACCAGATTAAGGCTACGCACAGCCCACAATACAGGTAGACCTCGACTTACCACCATTCATTTATTGACTATTTGAAGTTAAAACAGCACTGAAAAAAATGACTTATGAGCATTTTTCACCCTTACGACTGTTGCATCCCTCCTATGATCTCACAAGATCAAAATCTGGGTGGTTGGCATCTGGCATGTGTTTATGATTATTGTATATCCCACCGTCATGCGAAGTCAATGAGAAAGCCAGATTCACTTAACAACCGTGTTACTAACTTAACTGCACTTATTCAATGAATAAGAGAAAGAAAGGTAGTAAAATGGGGCAAAACTCACTTAACAACTGTCTTGCTTAGCAACAGAAATTTTGGGCTCAATTGTGGTTACAAGTGAGGTCTAACCTGTACAGCATATTCAAACGTTACTTTAATCACATCTATTGATTTACCTTATCTATATAAGCAGCCTTTGATGTTGAATTAGGAGGAATGTTTGCTTTGTCCAGATAAAATGCTCTGCAAAGAAGACACCCACAATATATTAATATTTCTCAAGAATATTTATAAAATAAATGCATTCAGTCTCTTTGGGACATGTTAAAGTATTTACAATCCTGAAATTGCAGGACACTAAATATAAACTGCTTTATGAATCCCTATGTGGAATGATATTGTGCTCAAAATAATTTTGAGGTACTCAAAGCTGAATTTAAAGCATTTTACCACAGAATATAAACAAATGCTCAAGACACAGTAAAGAGAATATTATTTTAAGTTATAAAATTCTTTTTTACGTATTTAGAATTCTTGATGCTCATACAGGATTTGATCACAATAACAACAGCTTTTTTGCAAATCATCAGTTAATGAAAATTTGAGAAATTGATTATGCATTAAAATCCATGCTCACAATAGTAGTTATAATTTCATTTCAGCATAATTTAAAATATCTTTCATCTACATAGGAGTAACACCTTTTAGGGTTCAGGAATTGCACAACAGCCCAAAGGAATATAAAGGCCACTGGAGCAGGGCAAACATACAAAGTGACTGTAAGTCATGAAGTTTGATAAGACAGGATTTTGGCATCTTATCCACCTTATGTGTTTCTGAATTATATTAAAACTACATATTACAATGGTTATATATTTTCTAGTTTAAAACAAGCAGTTAATTTTAAACCAAACTCTCACATTCTATAGAACATATAAAAAGAGGAAATGACATTTCCCATCATATTTATCTAATATAAAACTTATTTTTAAAATACATTTCAGTTAAAAAAAAGATTCCTGCCACTAATGCAGTATGAAATCTGTGACTCTTAAATGTATAATAGCATAAAGTTTCAAGATCAGAATCATTTTGTACAGAGACTAAAAATGTATTCAGAATGTTTGAAAGACATGCAAAATATCCAGTTTCAGAGCTGTTCTTAGCTTCAGATTTTGGACAAAATCTCATGCATCAGAAGAAGTAGACTGATACTTTCTATGAAAGTATGATCCAAATAATTTTAAATTTTTATGCACATTTACTAGACAGTAAGAACCACATTGACATGGGATTTATTTCTTGGTTAAATTTTTGGAACTTTTTCTCCTTGTTGCTGTTGGTACAGCAAATTTTAAATATAACATTTTTATGTTTTAAAAATGAGCAGAATGGGGGCAATGTTGCAAAATATCACATATTGTGTATGTGTGAATGCAGACATGATTAATTTGGAGTGGTGCATACCTCTACAAATGTAACTTCACTGTTTTCTATACACGGCCATTATGTTGGTGCTGCTGGGAGAGTCCTTTTTAAATATTGTTCCTGAACTTTTTTTTAGCACAAGTGAAAAAATGACAGTTGGCATCGTATCTAAAGCAGGACTAGATTCATCATGGCCTCCCAGTTTCTGGTCCAGTGCCTTACTCACTGCATCAGACTGGCTATGGAGTTAAGGCTATTCTTCCCAAATACTAATTAAACTTTTAAAATATGACATATCAAAAAAAGTATTTCCTCCTTAATTAGCGAAAACTGATTGAAAACTGAAAGGATATTTAGTGTTTTTGAGAACCTGGAAAGCAGTGGATAGCATACAAATTTGCAAAGCACTTCACTTAATTATTAAATGCTTGTTGAGAACCTCAATCAGATGTTATGAAGAAAGCTAATGGAAAAGTTGGCATGTTATCTGAAAAAGACACTATTTTTTAATTTACTTAAAATGATAAGGATGAAATCTTAATGCTTATGCATGTACAGGAACTGTTTGCTTTATAGCTTTTAAAATTTAGTAGATATTTTTGAGGGTGGCTTTTTTGGGGTAAACATAGAATATAGCAATAGCAGTAGACTTATATACCGCTTCATAGGGCTTTCAGCTCTCTCTAAGTGGTTTACAGAGAGTCAGCATATTGCCCCCAACAATATGGGTCCTCATTTTACCCACCTCGGAAGGATGGAAGGCTGAGTCAACCCTGAGCCGGTGAGATTTGAACCGCTGAACTGCTGATCTAGCAGTAGCCTGCAGTGCTGCATTTAACCACTGCGCCACCTGACGCAGAATACCTGTCTACTGACAAGAGAAAACTTGGTAATGTTCTACATCAAGGTTGGCTTGTCTGACTTGCTACCTATCATTCTCCGGTTGAAGGAACAGAATTTTAAACCTTCTGTTGGTAAACCCAGGTTATTTAATGTAAGAGCATGAGTCTGCTACTGTATACCAACAGCTGCTCCATTTGAAAATAATGCTCAATGCATTTTAATACAATTCACCTTTTCCCCAATTGTCCTCACCATCTGCAGTTCAAAATTCTCTGGTGAAAAACAGAATTCCCTTGCTTCACCACATTTGACAGGAGGCTGACTGCTCTATTTTCCTCCTTTGCTGTTCTACCTCTCTCACTGCATCCTAACTAGTACAAAAGGAAGCTGAATGTTTCATATTTTTCCTCTTACATTTATATATTATATAGTGAATCTTTTAATGTTGTGTGATGGGGGAGTTGCTTGTTTATTGTTGCATCCACCCTGTGTCACATTGGTTCAGTTGGGCGGCTTTATAAAAATGAAGATAGGTTTGCCTCCACTTTCTTCCCATCCTCCACACCAACCACATTTTTTCTTCCCTTTTTTTAAATATGACTTTCAGCTTTGCAAACCTGGGATAAGGGAGGGAGAGCAAGAGAAAAATCTGGCATGAATGAAAATTACAGTATATCTTACATAGGTTGGAGTGGAATTCACCTTTCCACCCTTCCTTTTTGTTAGGAGAAGTTGTGTCCACAAGGATAAAAATATTGTGCATTCAATTGTCTCTGAATAAATGCATTGTTTAGCATTGTTTTGTAGTGGAGTTAGGAAAAACAATGGGAGGCATCCCACACATATCACCTCCTCCAAACAGATCTCAGTGGTTAGGGAGTGAGGAAAATTGAATGCATACAAACTGAAGCCTCACTTTGCAGCACAGAAGCTTTTCCTGTTCCACCTCTCAGAAGAAAGGAACAAATATATATATATATATATATATATATATATATATATATATATATATATATATATATATATATATATATATATA